ACTGACACATCCAACAAGGCTCATGCTCCTAAAGCTGAATTTTCATTAGCACATATTCGGCCACAAGAATTACAATGACCTATTTAAGTAGGTCAGGCTGGTATTAATGGCAAAAGTGAGCTGATTGCAATCCAAAGCCATAGAGTCCAGTCTTACTAAGCTCAAACCAGGTCTCCTGCTTCTCTTTTTGCCTTATAACAATTGCTGGTATCGTAACCCTTGCACTCCACAATGTTTGTTGGCCTAAAGAGTGTTAGAGAAAGGTGCTAGCTCTGTATAATTGAACTCAAAAATGTGCCAGAAGACAGATTTCATGTGTTTTGTTGGTTTTTTTTTTCTACAATGAACACTGTAGAAAATATTAGAACATTTTTCTCAAACATGATACTAAGGTGAAGATGAGTCATTTCACTGTCATAACACGGGAGGGAGGGGAAACCAGAGTGGAAAAAAAGCAGCAAATTCATTCAGCAGCAATTTGCACTTCATAACCCTCTACTGATTAGGCTTTTAGGCCAGAGGAGGTCTGCTACTTAAGCAGAGAGGCAAAACATTGAGCTGTTGCTTAGATATTGGAATATATTGCACAGAGCCTGCTCCCTGGCGAGCACCCGTGAAGGGCTCCGGGCTGTTTTTCCAAGGATGCATTATAGCCCTGGTGCAATGCTGTGGTTTGCAAAGACTCAAAGCTTTTCAAAACAGGTCAAGGGATGACAGAAATGGTGACTTTTCTGAAGTGACAGTTCAGGTGGCTTTAAAGAACTCCTATCACCTGGAAGTGGCAGATACCAAGGGCTCTTAGAAGCTATGTAACAAGCAGATTAATAGCAACTAAATAATGTATATTCCTGCATGGAATGCCGATGGATTGCAGCACTATTTGCCCTACACAGCCCTCATCTGCCAACAGCACAGCACGAGAAAGGACAGGGAAGAACAGATCTCTGTCTGCTGACTCAGATCCATTCCCAATCCACCCAATTTGGGCAACAAATATCCTTTTATTTCTATTTTACTCCCATCCTTTTAAACTAGCATTCCTCCTCGTTTCTTGCTTCTTACCTCTGAAATCCAACAACTGTGCTGAAGAATCCCCTTGCAGACACATCTGATAAAGGCAATCAGCAGGAAAACAGATTCTTTAGTTAGATCCAGTGGTCATGGATATCTTCTGGAGTTCACAGCATTCCAAGAGAGCTAGGAAAAGAAACAATTAGAGTACCCTGGAGTACTGCAGCACAAGGTCCCATCACATACAATGCTTTTTCCTCACAGGCACAGGTCCCACAGTCAGATTACACAAAGGCTGTGACTCACATGGGCTGATGGAAGAAGCCTGAGATAGGGAACAACAAAAGCTTCAAGCCCAGAAGACAAGCTGATCCATAGATTGATCCAGCAGATTAGCTTCCCCTTCTTCCAAATAGTTAAGGAGGATGAGGCAGCAGTATCTCCAGTGGAGTCAGGGCCATCACAGGACACGTGGGACGGTTTTTCCAGCTGCTCATGGCAACACCGACAAAAGGGGAGCCCCAGGCCACTGACCCAAGCCCTACAGACCCTGCAAAGGTGGATGGAGCAGCACAGAAAAAGGAGACAGACCCCTTCCAGAAACCTTCCTCTCCCAAAGAGCTCTGCTTTGGACAGACTGGACTGACACAAGGCACCAAACCAACTGAAGCACATACTCACTTCCAGCCCTGGGAAAAAGCAGGACAAAATGCTGGAGAATAAAAGCATCCTGTAAAGGAAGCAGATTTTAATTTCTGTAACAAGGCTGTTTGAAGCCAGACCAACAGGGGGTGGGGGAGGAAATGAGGGTGTTTAAATCAATGTTCTGCCTGCACTCTAAATTCTCACAGATACATATTAATTGCAGCAAGATTGGTACTGTGTCCTTGCTCACACTGTCACGGATACACTGCCAGAGCTCTATTAATTAACACACGTCTGAGTGCATGGCCTCCTGCTGGGAACCAGGCAGACTCCTGCAATGCTACTCACCCTCTATGGCTGGGTGACACTTCTGGGTGGCACCACAGGGCTGGGAGATGTTTGGTAGAAGAGCCAAATTCTCCAAAAGCTGCTGGGGATGAGAACTGACCTGTTGCTGGAGCCTCACAGCCTCCTTCCTGACTTGCAGGGAGCAATCATCTTCAGCCACCCACCTCCTCCTGGTGCTGCAGTTTTTATTCCCTATCACATCTGGTCTGAGGAAATTGTTAACATGGCATTTGTCTCGATTGCTCCCCTGCAGAGACAGACAGGGCAGTTATTGATATGTACTTCCCCTGACAAAAACGGGCCATTTATAAGACTCATTACTACGATTTTCCTTAAATCACCTCCAGTACCACTTTGCCTTCACTGCAGCTTGTGATGGGTTGGATGTGTCACCAGTCCCTGGATCCATAGCAATTATTACCATTCAAAGGCACTTTCTGCACCACAATTTACCAGTTCACTGATGGAGACATCTGCCCTACAGTCACCCCCCAGAAAAATCAACACCTATACCCCTTGCTGGATCACCTGTCTAAGCCAGTCTGGCTCAATTATAGCTGGGAAGGGTTAGGAAGCAGCAGGACACGAGCCAGCTTGTGGCAAAGGCAGAAGCACCCAGCACATGAATAAGCTTAGGTTTCTCCTTTCCAGTTCACCCCAGCACTCACCAGCTGCTCCTTTGCTGAGTGAGCAGCACACCAAGCAGGAGCTTCCTGGGGGTGCAGTGACCAGCTTCTCCACACTTCCAAGCTTGCATCAGAGCAGCTCAAGGAGAGCCAGTCCTGAGGAAGAGGCTAGAGCACAATGAATAATATCCTATAACAAGTAACCTGACCAGGCACACTGGCTTTCCTCAACAGAAGCTGTTGCAGACTGTTTGACATAATCAGTTCTGGATATTTTTGCAGGTTCTGTTGTGACAGGACGAGGGGGGGGTGGCTTTAAACAGAAGGAGGATGGGTTTGGGTTAGATATAAGAAAGACGTTTTTACAATGAGGGTGATAAGGCAGTGGCAGAGGGTACCAATAGAGGTGGTAAATGCCCCATCCCTGGGAACACTCAAGGTCAGACTGGATAGGGTTGTGAGCAATCTGTTCTAGCTGTATATGTCCCTGCACATTGCAGGGCAGTTGGACTAGATGACCTTTAAACCCAAACTATCCCTTGATTCTATTATTAACCTGCAGTGCTTTTGAAAAGCCTGAACACCTCATACAAATAAATCACCTTAATAACCAACGACTGCAAGACAGTCAGACGAGAACATTTTGTTTTGGTAAACAGGGTATTGATTGTGTATCTGTGTCCTTGAGATGAACTTGACTCTTCAACAGCAGCAGGAGCCCAACAAAACAGGTTCTCCATAACTCCAAAATGGTGGATTGCCTTTGCCTGGAGTGAGCAGCACGACAGGTTTATGAAGGCAATAAAGCACCATTGATTTAGCACTGGCGGGGATTTCCCCCTCCCTAAAACACCACCTTTTTTTTGCACAGTTAACTCGAGCTGCACAGTGTGAATGTGGCTTCTGAGAGGCAAAGTCCATCTCCATGGCATGAATTTGGCAGGAATAGAAACTTTGTCCCTGTTGCATGAGCTGGCAGTGGAGCTGCTGGCATGAGAGTAGGTCCCAGGAGCTCAGAGGGAAAACACTGCTCATGTCCTTCGTAACAGGATCTTCAAACCAGTGCTTGATTTTCAAGATTTCATAGCACCATAATATTTATAATCAAGTGGAAGGGATGCCCAGTCAGAGAAAACACAATGAATAAAACATCCTCTCAGCCTTCCCTCCAAACACTCCCCATCTCACTAATACACATGATGTGCCTCCGTTGTGCACAGCCACTGGCTCTGGTCGGACCCACAGCCACACAGGGGAAAGATTTTTCTCTGTTGGTGGAAGGGCTCCTGCTGCAAAGCAATTTCCTACATGAATTCAGATCTGTTGGCAATCGTCCTCCCCAAAGCAAGTGAGTTTTACTGAAGAACTACACAAAGAGCACAGCTCAGAAAGCAGATGCCAGGAATTTGTTTTGAGGGATGTAAGAAGCAAAAGCCCCTCTACCCACACCAGGCAATGAGATTTAATTAGTCTCCATCGCATCTCTGGCAGGTTATTTTAATCATGCACATCCTATCCAAGGCACGGAGAGCATGTTCACTACAGATAATGAGGAGTAAGGCACAAGGCAGAGGGTAAAGCACAAGGGAATGTCACCGGCACCACAGTCCCTGCATCCTTCCCCAGCCCATCCCAACAGTCCCTAAAACAGACAGCTCCTGGGCACACCACCACTGGACAGGGCAGCGTGTTGCCAGTTCCAAGATAATATAGTTTGGTGAGTGAAAGGATGGCTTTTAAGCTATCCCAGAGATGTGCTTTGTGCTGAAAACCAGAAAGCCTAAACGGAAGGATTGTGGATGCAAAATACTTTCAAACCCTTTTGTCCTGGGGAATAGTTACAGATCACCAAATGTAACATCACATTCTCCTGAATTTCTCTGCCTTCGTGTACTTTCTTCTCTGAAAAAGACAACAGCAATTCCTGGAAACTGCCTTCTCCCTGCAGACCTATCAATACCTTGCTTCATTTACAACTACTTACAGCTTTACCAAAATAGGCAAGAGCACGGCTCCAGGGGTGTTTCATGTGAAGAAATATCATCCATAGCATTCCTATGCATCTTTTGGGCAATATAACTTCTGTTTCATTTTCCTTATGCCTAATGTCTGGTCAGATTTTGGCCAAGGTAAGGAAAATATGTGGAAGAGTGGTACACTGGGCATAAAAAAAATTCCATCTGCTGAAAAAGTCAGTTATACCCATGGTTTTAAGAAATTACTTCCAAGTGCAATTAAGTGTTTTACTCCCCCACCCCAGTTACCAGTGCACAATAATCTTGTCAGAAGAGTGTAAGTATCTACAGGAGAGGAGCAAAGTCAAACACAGCTCATGGCTACACAGCTCAGATCAAAAAGCTGACCCGTTTGGTTACATGCACACAGCCAGGCATGGCAGCAATGGATGGCTGCATTTTCCCTTGCCTTGTCTTGGAATGAAGGCCAGGCAACATTTAAAGGGCTAAAGGAGAATCAAGAGACCCTTGATTTCCCTTTTCTTCTTGTTCTAGGGACATGAAGGTAAAGTGATCTTACACTGTTGCTGGTTTTGCTCTATAGCCTGAGGTGCATTTCTGTCAAGCTTCACGGGACTCCTGCACCTCCTGATGCACATCTGAAGGATTTCGCTGCATTTCCAAAGCTGCACCAGAGACCCAGCTGGGGAAAAAAAATCAGCCAAACTCCCCCAGAGCAGCTGAAACCAGCACAGATCTGGCAAGGTCTGTTTATTTGTTCATTTTGCGAGCTGTAATGTTGCTTACTCTCCTCCCACTCCCTCTGGGGCATCTTCCTTTGTTAAAACCCGCCACTGTTCCCTATTGAAGCAGTTTAACCCCCCCGCTTCCCACCGTTTCACATATTCCTCATTCAGCCAGCCCTGGGTGCTGTCCGTGTCCCTCCAGATCTCCCTTATTCCTGAAGGGAACAGCCCGGAGCATCAGCTGCTCACCAGCACCTACCTTATTTACTATTTAAATAACCCTGCAGAAAGAAAACCTTCTTTTCTTTTGCCCCCCTTCCCTGGTTTGAGCGTGCTAATTGTTCAGACATGCAACGCACACACACAGAGGCATCATGGTGATATGATTGCAAAGCCCGGTAACGTCAGCATCCCAGAGACCCTCCTCCGGCTCGGATTAGAGAGAAGAGGCTCACCAGCACAAGCAGCAGGTACTGGAGGAGGCAGCGGAGCCACTCACCAGGTAAGAGACACTTCAGCCCTCCTTCCCCAGCGCTGGCGGTCCCGTCCTGCACTTGACTGCTGTGCAACAACAAAATGCAAGAGAAGGGAAGCACTTCTCTTTGCAGAGCCTGGGGACCAGTTACCAAACCTTTCATCTTCATGGGGGTAGGGGAGTCCGTGCTTGCTCATTCCCAGCAGAGGAATTCTTGGAAGAAGGGGTCAGGCATTAGTGATGGATGTGGCAGCTGCTACTGATGTGGAGATTCCTGCTGTGACTTGAAAGTGGATTCGCTTTCAGAGTACTTTTCTCCCTCTTCCCTGATTAATCCTGAACTTCTGACATTTACAGGTTTGTCTGTCCATCTGTGCCAAGTTTGGTGTGCTGCCAGTGGTTTGCACTGGGGATGGTCTTCACAGTGAATAAGATCACAGCCCACCCTTGCTTAGAGCGTTACTTTGATTGCAGCTTAAGCCCCTTTAACCCTTAGTTTTGGAAATACTCCCTGAACTATTTTTCCTCCTCCTTCTTTTGCTAGGGGACCCTGGGAGTGGGGGAGTAGCAGTGTCAGAAACTTCTTCATTGTTTGTGAAATCTCAGTCAATGAAGAGCCTGAACTCCGACACCAAGGCAGGCACTAATTAACAACTGCAATACTTCTGCTCCTGCACAGAAAGCAAGTGCTGTGCCAGTGGAACAGCAGCCGTCCCTTGAGTCCTCCAAAGGCTGTGAACAGCCAGACAAGCACAAAGCTCCCCCTCTGCCTCCCTGTTCCTGCCAGCCCCAGAAGAACACTCTCAGCAGACAGCTGAACTGGAGCCACTCGACTTTCCCAGAAGAGAAAAGGCGAAGTTCACCAGAATGTCCTCAGAAAGAAGAGTTCCTTGACTTACATAGAGAGTTACAATTCTCTTGTTTCCTTGGTTTGTGGAGCCTTATGTGCCTTTCAAGCACTATCCCCTCCCCCATCACTTCAAAATCTAACTTCCCCAACATGGGGGGACAGGAGAAATAAGTTAGGTGGTCCATGTTGCCTCACAACCCACCTTTGAAAATAACCTGTGTCTACATGAGATAGTGGCTGCTTCTCCAGGGGAAAGAAAAAAATAAAAAAAAACAAAATCAAACCACAAAAAATCCCCTCAACAACGACAAAACCCCCACCCCTTCTTTCTTCCAGGCTAGCAAGGCTTTCAGTAACATCTGAAGGTGGTCTGTGACCAACAGGCATGGGAAACAGCTCTTTTTGGGATGATCTGAACAGCACCTGCAGCAAGGCAGGCAACAGCTGCTACCTGGACAACAGCATGAGGTTCAACTTCTCCTTCCAAGAGCAGGCAGCTGATTTCTATGTTGTCCTCCCCGTGATTTACTCCGTGATCTGTGCTGTGGGGCTCACAGGCAACACTGCTGTCATCTATGTGATCCTCAAGGCCCCCAAGATGAAGACTGTGACAAACATGTTCATCCTGAACCTTGCTATAGCCGACGACTTGTTCACGCTTGTCTTGCCCATTAATATTGCGGAACATCTACTCCGCTACTGGCCCTTCGGAGAGGTCCTCTGCAAGGTCATCTTGTCCATAGACCACTACAATATCTTCTCTAGCATTTATTTCCTGACAGTGATGAGCATAGACAGGTATCTGGTGGTACTGGCTACAGTCAGGTCCAAGAGGATGCCCCATCGTACGTACCGAGCAGCCAGGATTGTCAGCCTGTGCATCTGGATCCTGGTCACCATCATAGTTCTCCCTTTCATCATCTTTGCCAACGTCTACACCGATGACCTGGAGATAAAGAGTTGTGGTCTCAATTTCCCCAAGCCTGAAAGGTTTTGGTTCAAAGCCAGCAGGATCTATACCCTCATCCTTGGCTTTGCCATTCCAGTATCCACCATCTGCATCCTCTACACCATGATGCTCTACAAGCTAAGGAACATGCACTTGAACTCTAACGCTAGAGCCCTGGACAAAGCCAAGAAGAAAGTCACTATTATGGTCTTCATAGTCCTGGCTGTGTTCCTCTTCTGTTGGACACCCTTCCACTTGGCCACCATTGTGGCTTTGACCACCGACTTGCCCCAGACCTCCGTGGTCATTGGTATATCCTACTTTATCACCAGCCTGAGCTATGCTAACTCATGCTTGAACCCCTTCCTGTACGCTTTCCTGGACGACAGTTTTCGGAAAAGTTTCCGGAAGCTGCTGGAATGCAGAACTTCTTGAACAGTGGCTTGGGGATCACAGATCCTTGCCCTCCCTGGGCTTTGCAGGGGCAGCTTCACAGACTGAAGGGGTGGCCAACGAATGCACAATGTCCGTTCTGGCGTTTACAAGTGTTGTGTCTGTCTGTTTATAATGCTCATCATCCACAGTTTGTCCTGCTCTCTTGCAGTTCTTATTTCCCCTCTTTGCTCCTCCCAGCTCCTCAGAGTTGCATTTCTGTATTCTTATTTTTAATTACACACCCTGAGTTGTTAAGGACAGAAAACTTCCTTTTCTACCACACAGTGGTCCTTTATTGCCATCTGCTGTACAGCACCGACAGGCTGGAGAGCAGTTTTCAGAATAATGCAATGCTCAGTTCTTTATTTCCATGTTATTAGGATTGTTTCATGGGGCAGAGCTAATGAGCACTTTCAATGAAATATCAATAAAATGGGTGGAGGATGAGTATTTGGAAGAAAAAAAAAAGAAACCATTTTCATGTCCATGAAACACATGTGCCTATGTGTTATAGCTTTGTTTTTTATTTTGGGGGTTGTCCATCTTCCACCCCACCCCAAATTCCCTCTTTCCTGGACTGTTAGCACAGGTTAAATTTAGACCAAAAGAAAGATTTGTGTCTCAAAAATAGGGTTAAACAACACACCATACAAATACTATGACAACTGTGGGAATTTGTGTTAGAAATTATTTTTAACTAATTGTTCCTGTTAAGTGTCAAATATATATTTACTTAAGAGTGACTAATGAAATAAACCTCATGAGGAAAAAGAGTCTGGTCCTTCTTTCACAAGAGAAATTTACACTACTTTTGCCATATCTCTGTTATATATATTGCATTTTACCTAATGCAAAGTAAAACAAGGTAGATTTGTAAAAAAATTAAGGTGTTTATAAGCAACAAGAAAAACTCTACCAAGCACTGCAGATAAAGTTCCTTCTTTAGCAGATAAACAGTTCAAATACTTGAACAGAACCAGGACTTGAGAAGAAGAGTCTGGAGATCAGAAACACCATATTTAAAGCTTGGAAAGCTCACTCTCACATCCCTTAGCCCTGCAAAGTATATAAATTACTGGTTTTAGGAAGGCTGCCTCAGCTAAAACTTTTCTCTCAAGCTTTCCCCAAATATACAGGTAACAAGCTGGGCTCTTACCTGTCCAAATTCCACCAGGAAAGCATGGGACAGGTAAAACAGAAGAGGAGTGGGCTGCAGTTCTCAGTTTAAAGGGGCTCCTGGGCCAACGGGAGAGGGTGTGGGAGGAGATCCCAGGTGAGGCTGCTCAGGGCAATTCAGTTGGGTCAGTGCCCTCAGCACTCCAACCTGACAACCCTCGATACATCGTGATGGCAATTGCCTTTTTTCCCTTTTAGAAAACTGAAAGAGGTATGTTGCCTCCTCCATATTAAAGGTGCTGATTTTGGAAGAACAATGAAGCGGAACACATTCTTCCAGGTGAAACTTCTCCAGGAATTTTGCTTTAGCACGGTTGCCACCTGCTGGCAATGGGGCTTCCCAGGTGGAAAAACCTCTCTGACTGTAGAAAATTAACTAAGATAGTGCCACCTCACACACAAGTTGCCTGGTTAGCCGAAAGGTCACTGTTCATTGGCACTAGGTCTGTAGGAAAGGCAATATAATTTATTAGGTGGAAAACCTAATATATCTTGTTAGATGGAAAGGACCTTTCGAGTGTAAGTCACTCACTTTCAGGCCTGACAGTGTCATTGCTGGAGCTTTCCCCACTAAATCACAAATCATGACTGTCACAGATTCACAGTGCGGCTCAGGCAGGGTCACCTAGAGCAAAGTCCCCAGAACCACGTCCAATTGGGTTTGAATGTCTCCAAGGATGGAGATGCCACAAATTCTTCAGGCAACCTGTTCCCATACTTCACCACTCTCACAGTAAATTTATTTCTTAGGCTTAAATGGAGTTTTCCATATTTCAGTTTGTGCCTCCTGTCCTGTCACCGGACATCACCGAGGAGCGTCTGGTTCTCTCTTCTCTCCATCCTTTATCAGGCACTTACAGGCACTGCTTATATCCCCTGGGACTTCTCTCCCTGAGGATGAACAGCATCTGCTTACAGCAGCATCCTGCCTTCATCCGTGATTTTCTCCATGTAAAATACATAAGACACGAATGTCGGCTCCTCTTTGCTCTTGTAGCGTGCAAGGCTCCAAGGGGAGAAGCATTTGCATCGGCCAAGGTCTCCTGCCGTGCTCAGGAAGGGCTCTGGCTCCCAGGGGAACCTCAAGGTGTCCGGAGCGGCCAGCGGAGCATCCAACAGGCTGTATTTCAGAGCAGCGGCACTAAGCGGCACTCTCTGCTTTCAGCTCAGCATCGCAGCACCTTCCGCAGCTGCTCAGCCTCACACAGCCCGGCACTCTGCTTCTGCGGGGGCACCGGCAAAGTCGGGGTGCCCACGCCCGGGCAAACCCTCAGAGCACAGCACCCGAGGCCAGGCTGCTTCAGCTCCTTCTGGGAGAGCAGAAAACACCTTCAAGGAGACTCTTCCCACACACACAGGGAAACCCTGCATGCCAACTCATTCCTTTGAATTTCCTCCCGCTGCTGGGACTGGTTTGCCACACCAACCCACATTAGTTGCATCTTGAAGACTGGAAGTGGTGAAATAAACCCCATTAACAACTCACTGAATAAATTCCCTCCTGAACAAACATCCTTCTGGGGTCTGCAGGGTCACAGGAGGCTGAATTAGGTACCCAGAGGGCCCTCCCATCCTAACCCCTTCCCAGAGAGCCATTCATTGGAGCAGGGAAGTCAGCTCAGCCTCAAAGCTGGGGGAAATTTCCTTCTGGGACAGTCTGGAATGTCTTAATGGGTGCAAAGATGAGGGACAGCCTCACTGCTCACAGCAGGAGCTGAAGGCTTTCTGTTTACTCCAGCACAGTCCAGTGGCACAGAGGAAAGCAGCAGATTCCTGCCTATCCCCTTTCCAGGAAGGAACCGGCTTCCCCGTTCTGCTGCACTCATGACCACAGACAGCCCTGAAGGACTCTGCTTCATCATCCCTGGGAGAGGGGGAACAAGTTGTTTTCCACCCCAGAACCGGAATTAGGGTTCATACAGGGTTTATATTCCCATTGCAGGCTTTAAACACAGGCGTCTGAGACAAGGGGAGAGGAGGGGGATTGGAAATGACTGTTGCTTTTTAAGTCTTCCTGCTGCAGCAATAATGGCTGTTCCGATCAATTGTCCTCATCCAAGCTGTGCTGCAGCTTGTTCTCCCCCGGAAGCTCTAATCCTCCGGGATTTAGGCCGTCTCACACTGTCTCTCTATGGCTGATCACGATTTTGGGTGAGAAAAGAAACAATAGCCTGCTGATTGATGAAGGCCTGGCTATCAGAAGGATCTTTAGATGAGGAAAAAAAAATGAAAAGATTAAAATTGGGCAAGCAAAAGCTTGGACTACAAAAGATGTGAAATGGAAGAGTCTCCAGAGGATACTGTTAAAATCAATCCAAGAAAGAGAATTTGTCCTTGTAATGTACGGCCTGACTTATCTTTAGCACTCCCCTTGTTCACTACAAGTTGCTGGGAGGTGCTGATGAGCCACTGATGCTCCCACCACAGACCCAATGAAATGGGGACCCTCTGGCTTTACTGCTAATTCTGGGAGAAACAAGCCTGGTTTGGTGCCTTCAAAGGGTCTCAGCACCTCAAGGTTGACATTCCCACCTGCTGCTGAAGGGAAGGGGACTTCCCAGGTTGGGTTCCTCTCATGGTGAGTCAGGAGGTCACCTGAGGACCCTCTGCGGGCTATGGGGACACAGCACTGGCAGCTCCCTGTCCTTGCCCAAGACAGACAGTGTGGGTAAAACCCACCCACACCATCACTGCAGCCGTGGCTGTGCCTGGAGCCAGTTTTGAGGTGATAAACCCTTTTTCCATGTCAGCTCTGAGTCCTCCAGAGGAGCTCCAGGCTTGTCATTGTGGAGTGACAGTATGACACAAAATGGTCTTAAGTGGCACCAGAGAAGATTTAGATTAGATGCTAGGAAATATTTTTTCACTGAAAGGATGGTCAAGCATTGGAACAGGCTGCCCAAGGCAGTGGTGGAGTCACCATCCCTGGAAGTGTTCAAAAAAATGTGAGGATGTGTCACTTTAGGACATGGTTTAGCAGCAAACATGGTGGTGGTGTGGGGCTGATGGCTGGACCTGATGACCTTTCCCAACTTTAATGATTCTGTTGTTCTGTGATATCAGGCATCCTCCAAAAAAAACAAACAAAAAAATGTTCCAAATAAATCTCTATTGAAAAGCCACCTGCCATGTTGCCAAATTTCTCCCCCCCCTCCTCCCTTTGACAGGAAGCGAGGAAGAGGAGTTGATTTAAAGGCAAAGGCCAAGAATAGTGACAGTAAATATTGCCAAGAGTTTCTTGTTGGCATTTGTGTATGGTAAGGGAAGATGCAGAGGGAAGGATCAAAGCTCTCTGAATAGCTTTTAATTACAAGCCTCAATTGCTCTGTTTTCTCTCAGAAAAGTATTACAATTATCTAACAAAGCTCTTCAAGTGGAAATAGACACCAGCCCAAAGCTTGAAGGGCTGTTCAGTGGCTGTTTTCTCTTAATAAAAAAAATAATTGATGTCTAGATAAAAACCAGGCAATCCTATAAGTACTTATGGCCAAGCCTGATGCTCTCTGGATAAACAGATGATGGGAAGCTTTCCCCAGGAGGAGGTGAATAGTCTGGAGTGCACCAAAGGCTGGTGGTGGCTCTGCTAAAGCCCCACACCTCGGGGCTGGGCAGGCATGGGGGCTCTGGGTGCTGCCACCAGCATTATTGTTCCTGTCAGGGGGAAAATAAGCTGTAGTTTGGGGTTAAGACCTTTGACAACAGGCAGCTGTCCCCATCTTCAATTTTCCTGAGAAATGTTTTCTTCCTCTGTCTTTCCCCGGGATTTGTGCACAACTCCATCATCTCTCCTTGCTCTGATGCTTCTTCTCCTGCACAGCTTGTGCCAGAAGAACAAGACACCTTGGGAGTTTCTAAGGTCCAAACCATCCACTGTACAAGACTCAATAAACCAGCTGAATAAGGAAATCAGAGGACTAAGGATTCAGTTTCATAAACTTAACCCTCAAATGAGATCAGAAGCTGGTAATTAATAAAGTCAGATTTCAATGCAATGAAAAATCTCCCCTGAGACCCAGCCTGCTGCTGCTCAGTATTGATGGAATTCCTACAGATGTAATTACATTTTCCTTATCTGTGTGATGGAGACAGCAGGATCCTCCAAGCCACAATCATGGTCAGCTGAGCTCCTTCATCCAAGCTGGGGCCATGAAGCTGACAGCCCTCATTTCATGGTAGTTGGGGCAGGTCAGAGCCAACAGCTCATAGAATTATGGAATCACAGTCTGGTTTGGGTTGGAAGGGACCTTAAAGATCATCCAGTTCCAACTCCTTGCCATGGAAAGGGACACCTTCCATTAGACC